TTTATTGTTTATCACTGCCACTATCTTCATCTCCATCTAGTTTGATAATGAAATTATCATTCAATTTGTCATTTGACAATTTCAATTTGCTAATGCCTATTAAAAATTGGAAACAAAAATGGGTGTAAGGAAACTATTTAATAATAATGAAAAAAAAAAGAGAATTGGGAATAGACACCAAGATAGGTAAGCATTGGTGGTTTGGTGTGTATGGTAGTTTTGTTAGTGGTGACGGTACATATTTGGTTGATCAGAATAAATAAATGAGTTTAAAAGGAAAACAGATACAGGAGGAAGATGATAGAGAATTAAATTATTGGTTGACAATAGATAAGAGAGTTTTAATATTTGATAGAGTTTTTCAATGAGTTGGCAATGAATAAAGAGCATTGTTGTCTTTTTATCATAGCAAGGGAGGTCTCCGTAATTATGTAAACTTCAAGGGAGCTGAGTGAAATTGTCGAAAACCTGGGGAGAGGTTTCTGAAATTATCCCTAAATTTAATCTATTTGGCACAATGCTCTAAAGAGACTATAGAATTCCCCTAATTTAAAAACGCTAACAACTGCATTAAGAATTCAAATCACCTACACCTGTTAGAAATTTAAATCGAGAGATACTTATTATGCTTAAGATTCATCCATTAAAGTTGAACTATTGAAGAGTTCATGGTTTAAGATACACAAGTTTTTGCAAATTAGTGGGGGATTGTTGAGTAGTTTGAAAAACTACACAAATCTGTGCAAGTGTTGGCACCCCAAACAATGTCTTCTGAACTCTGAAGTCCAAATTGTGTCCGGATTTAATGATAGCTCTCTTCAAATCATAGTTATTAAACGTGGTCTAGAAAGGAACCCAGCAAAGGAGGTGGGTGAGTGGTTGAACTAATAGATCACTAAATATATATAAATATTATATCTCATAATTTTGATATAAGATTATGCTATAAACTATAATGAAAAAAATGCCATAGCAAATGATCATTTAATTTAATTTGCTATAGAATTGTTAATTTACATAAGAATCAACAAAACATAAATTTAATTAGTAATCCACCAAACTTGAAGTGTAAAATTTTATCTGTGTTTAGTGTAATTATCTAACTTATTTACAAATTTTAAGTGCAAAAAATTATTGAAAACAATATTTGTCTTCAAAAAGGTTTATGTAATATAATATCTTTGAAATCCATTTTATAACTTATAAAGTTTGGGGGGGGAGGACATAAGTTTTTATTAAAGATTCCAAATAAATTTTTTTGGAGAAATAAAAAAAGAATAAAGATAAAATTGATAAAATGTTCATATAGTATAAGAAGGCTATTCAACTTACACATGGCAACTAGTATGGTGGTGAGTATACTATAGATGCATGCTTAAAGTGAATCTTGGTAAGAGCTTGCTAAAATTTTTGAGGGGTCATAAGTTTTTATTAAAAGATTCTAAATAAATTTGTTTTGAAGAAATAAAAAATGAATAAAGATAGAATTGACAAAATGTTCATATAGTATAAGAAAGCTATTCAACTTACATAAGGATGACAATGGGGGCGGGTGCCCGAGGGTTGGGCCCGTTTTAGAAACGGGGTGGGGGACAGGGGAGTGTACCCCCGCCTCATCCCCTACCCCACCATCCATTTAAAAATATATACATATTTATATATAAATAAATATATATGTAATTATATATGTAATATTTAATTTACTTAGTTACCTGATAATGATATTATTAGTTATATGTATCATATAATGTATATTGGTATATGTAATATAATTGATATTATCAATTATACTAATAATTATATGTCTACTAATAGAAATATTAATTAGTTATACTAAATTTACTAATACATTTATACTAAATCCCTAATTACACTTAATACAATAACATTTTTTCTCAAAAAAAAAAGTACAAGCACAATAATGAATTAGTGATTATATGTGAGGACTCACAAAAATTTAATATTTTAAATTCCATTTCGAGCTTATTTAAATATTTAATTACCTATTTACTCTGATTATTATTTTCTAGCCTCTTTAGACCTAATTACATGGATTTATAGTTTCGTTATATTTTTAAAGCGACTCGTTTCAAAATTTAATTCTCGGAAGCTCATTAAGTGAAAATAGCGAATACGCGATTGGAGTCAATAATCGATTCGAGAATACAATAAGCTTGGAAAAATTAGAGACTTGCACAATGGTCTTGAAATAGGTATTTTTGTGCTTAAATATTCAAGTGATAGTTATTAGTACCATCGTTATAAGAATTTTTTGGAGTTTTACTTTATCACGTTTAAATTGAAAATACGCGTTTTCACACGCACGATTTAATTGAGGGACTCTAGACCCTTATTTTGGAACAATTAAGAGTGAATACTATTTATATGAATATAAGTTCATTAGAGGTTTCGTGCACTAATGAAATAAACTCGAGAGGAATCGAGTACAAAACGCGCGCGCTGACTTTTGGACAAACACATGGGCCACACATTAAAGCTTCTTGATAAGTGAATATTTAACGTACATTTTGTACGAATTTGGCATGAATTTTTGGTATGTTTTCAGAAGATTAAAGCCATATTTGAACTCTTTTGGTGATAATTGTTTAAATATTGTTTAAGGGTTCAAAAATTGATAAATGAGTGGATTAATGCATTAATTTTGTGAAATTGTGAAGGTAATTGAAGTATGAAATTCATGCACAAGTTGAGCTCGGATCCGTGTTGAGCTCGGATCCGTGTGTACAAGAGAGATCTGAGCCCTCGTCTGTACTTCTGGCGGAGTGTATCCGAGGTCAGGAAGATCCGACCTCGGATCCATCAAGGAAAGTCCTCGGATCCTGAAGATCCGAGCTCGGATCATTTTTCAACCCTCGGATCCGAGGCTCGGATCTGTCTCTCTCCTCAGCAAGTGCCACAACCGTTTTTCTTTACCTTTTTCACAACTTTCCAGCTATTTTGAGGGACAGAAATCGGTGGCACATGCTTCTGCAACAAAAGAGAAGACCAAATGAGTGTGGACAAAAGGAAACATCATATCTTTGACTTCTTTTTACAAAATCTGAGTGGAAGAAATTATGAAGTGAGAGATGATAGACTTTCTACCACCTTTTATGCAGAAACACAGGGGAGAAGTAGGAATTACCATACGTAGCTAGTTTTCTTTCTTGTATCTGGTTTCTATCTAGATAGGAGTTCTTGGAGAAGTATTTGGAGTTTTCACTTGTAATCATATTGTGCAAGAGCATAGCAGGAATTGGAGAGCTTCACCTTCAATTGGCTAAGCTTTCTTTTATCTTTCTTGTACTTGTACTTCATGATGTTTGGCATTAATAAACTTGTGAGTTTGATTGTTAAATCATTCATGAGTAGCTAAATCCCTTAATCTAGGGAGTAGATGAAACTTATGGCTAAATAATACTAACTGAATGTGATTTACACTTGTTATATCTTGTATTAACTTGTCTACTTGTGTAGCTGTAATTACTTGTTGTTGATTGATCACCAATAGCATGTTTATAGTTGTTATTATTCAATGAGAATTGGTAGTAACAATGGAAACACATGAGTAGAGTCTAAGTTGTATGTTCATGAAAATAGAGATACACTTAAGTGGATTACTTAGCATTTCATGAAAGAAAACAGAGTAGTAGTAGTATTTCACCATGAAAATAGGGAAAACTGAACTATTTTAGGCCATTTCATCATGAGAATGAGACTTGATAAATTTGAAAATGAATCTCTGGTTAAACAAGAATAATAGCAAGAAGTAAATCCATTAATTTGTGTTGTTTATGCCATAAGTGGAATCTACATCCCTAGAATCTTTCTTGAGTGAAATTTCTCTATTTGCATTCAGCATTTGTTAAACTAGATTTGTATATCAGATTTGTAGATTACAGCATTAGACTTTCTCTGCTCAAATTAATTGTAAGTCTAAATAATAGAGAAAACAAGGGTTTAGTAATTGTTTAAATTGCTCCTCGTGGGATCGACCCGATACACATCTTGTACTACAATTGCGACATGTATACTTGCAGTCCAATGGGTGTAAAATCGGAATTGAACTTGCATTGATATAAAAATCCCGTCAAGTTTTTGGCGCCGTTGCCGGGGAGCGGCAATATTAGGGCCTAATCATCTCTATTAATTTAGATATTTTCATTGTTTTTTATTCAAGTTGTTGAATTAAAACTGCAAAATTTCTCTTGTTTTTGTTTGTAGTATATGCACCGATCAAATCGAGAAGTTACACATTTCGATCCTGAAATTGAAAGAATATTACACAGACAAAGGAGGAGTACATCACATCAAGAGGAACAAGAGGTTTGGCAGCCAATAGAAGATATCTTGATAGAATTACAATTTGAAGAAGAAATGGCAGAAAACGAAGCAAATAGGCGAGTTCTACGAGATTTTGCTCTATCGGGAACACAAGGATCTCAAACGAGTATAGCAAGGCCTTCGGTAAATGCTAACAACTTTGAGATTAAACCATCACTTATCCAAATGGTTCAACAATCTCAATTTGGAGGTAATGCAGTAGAAGATCCTAATACACACTTAGCTACATTCTTGGAAATTTGTGATACAATTAAAATGAATGGAGTTAGTGATGATGCTATAAGGCTAAGATTGTTCCCATTTTCATTGAGAGATAAGGCCAAACTTTGGCTACACTCTCATGCTCCTAATACTTTCACCGGATGGGATGATTTATCAAGAGCATTCTTAAATAAGTATTTTCCACCAGGTAAGACTGCTAAGCTTAGAATGGATATCACTAGTTTTAGCCAATTAGAAGGTGAATCATTATATGAGGCATGGGAAAGGTTTAGAGATTTGCTTCGGAAATGTCCACATCATGGACTGCCGGAGTGGTTAATCATACAAACCTTCTATAATGGTTTAGTTTTTCTACTAAAACTATGATCGATGCAGCTGCAGGTGGAGCTTTAATGGGTAAATCACCCCAAGAAACTCATACTTTGATAGAAGAAATGGCAGCAAATAACTACCAATGGGCCAATGAGAGAGGTAATACAAGACGTCATGCAGGTATGATAGAAATGGACACTCTCAATATGCTGAGTGCTCAAATGAATAATGTGATGAAGTTGCTAAGTAGACAAGGTGGAGTTGGTCCAAGTTCATCTAATGCACATGTAGCATGTTGTTCTATATGTGGAGGTGAACATGATACTAATGAGTGTGTTGATTTTGAGCAGGTACAATTCGTTAATAATTATAATCGTAATGCTCAAAATAACCCCTACTCGAATACTTACAATCCGGGGTGGAGAAATCATCCAAATTTTGGATGGAAGGACCAAGGAAATCAACCAAGGCCAGCCAATCCACCGGGATTTCAATCAAGGCAACAACAAGTTGAAACCAAACCTGGTTGGGAGATCGCTGTGGAAACGCGTGCTAAGGTTACTTCGGATAGATTCGAGCGAGTTGAGGGGCGGCTGGACCAATTGGCTGGGATGTATAGAAATTTGGAGATTCAAATTGGTCAAATTGCCAATGCGATCAACAACAGAAACCCTGGTGAATTGCCGAGTAAAACCGAAGTGAATCCGAGAGAGCAAGTCAATGCTATCACTCTTAGAAGTGGTAAAATGGTTGAGGGACCTAACTCTAGTAATTCAAGTGGTGAAAAAGATAAGGAGCAAGCATATGGAGGAGTAAAACCAAGCCAAAATGATAATGTAGTCATTAATATTGATGAACCTCCTCCTCAATTAAATTCTAATGAAATTCCTTTTCCTCACAGGTTGAAGAAAGATGGACAGGATCGGGAGTTTCAAAAGTTCTTCAAAATGTTTAAACAATTGCACATTAACATTCCTTTCATTGATTCTATAACACAGATTCCCTCTTATGCGCGTTTCTTGAAAGATATCATGTCAAGAAAGAGGAAAATTGTAGATAATGAGATGATAGTATTAACGGAAGAGTGTAGTGCATTAATTAAGAACAGACTCCCTCCTAAATTAAAAGATCCGGGAAGTTTTTCTATTCCTTGCACTATTGGTCAATTGCATTTTTTTAATGTTTTATGTGATTTAGGTGCAAGTGTGTCACTTATGCCATTATCGGTTGCCCGGAGGTTGGGACTTCAAGAGTTGAAAGCTACCAATATCATATTGCAGTTGGCGGATCGGTCAATCACACATCCAATTGGTATTTTGGAAAATGTGCTCATAAGTGTAAGACAATTTATAATACCTGTGGATTTTGTTGTCTTAGATATTGAGGAAGATGTGAGAATGCCAATTATTCTAGGACGACCGTTTTTAGCCACCGCACGAACTATAATTGATGTGGAAAAAGGTAAGCTTATACTACGGGTTAATGGTGAGGAATTGGAATTCAATTTGGATAATAAAGAAGGGAGTATAGAGCCTATTGTTCTTGTTTCTAATATGCCATGTGATGAAAAGGTTAACCAAGAAAGGAACGAAGAAGTTAAATTATTAAATGTTCTTGGTACTAACTTTCATGGTGTAGGAGCAAGGGAAGAGAAGATAAGGGTGGAAGTTGGCTTAATAAATTCGACACTCCATGAAAAAAGTGGAGAAAAATTGAGCCAACTCGAAAAAGACAAGCAAATTCCACTCCAAGGTGAAGTCGAGCCTTTATATGACAAGTCTAATACTCCTCCTTGGCATTTGAGGAAATTGGACTATGGAGATCAATGCATGGCTCACCACATGGTGGATTGGCTCGAAAGTTTCGACCCATGGGGAGAAAATCGCTCCTTAATGTTCTAAAATGATTCAATTTTTTTGAGTCGAGCCAACGACTATAAACAAAAGCGCTTGTTGGGAGGCAACCCAATAATAATATTGTATTTGCATTTTTATGTGTTTTTTTTTACATTTTGGTGTGATTTAATTAACTAATTAGATGTATTTCACTTGTTTGTAGGAGGTACCGGAGTTTCATCATCCATTTTGGAGGTACAATTGAAGAACAAGTGTAAAAAGGGAGGTTTTCTTACCAAAATTGTGCTTTAAGTGTTTAGAATTATCATTCATATATGCATTGTGCATTTCAAGTATATTCAAGTGAGTTTTGGTGATAACATGTTATAAATGCTCATGGACTCATTTGATGTGTATTTAATGCCCAAAAATGTCATTTTAGTGTAAAAGTACAGAAATGATCAAAGGACCCTACCCCTCGATTTTCAATGTAAATGTGTTTGTTGTGTTTTGAGAGGTTGGATATTGTGTTTATGGTATATTACATGTGTGTGGGAGGTTGGAATTAATAAAAAATATGTCCAATGTGTGATTTGGAATTGGCCGGAAAAGGGAGAAAAAGTTTGAAAAATTGCAGTTTCTGCAATTAGTGCAGAGAAATATAAATCCGAGCTCGGATCCTAAAAGCCCAGACAGATCCGACTGCGAATCCATCGATCCGAGCTCGGATCTATTCCAATCCAGATAGATCCGAGGGCTCGTCTGTGTTTCTGTTGGGACTGATCCGAGCCCCTGTCGGATCCGAGGACGTTCAGAACAGATCCGACCTCGGATCTGTTCGCGATAAGAAAAGAAACGAGGTCTCGGTTCCTCATTTTTTCGAATTCCCTTTTCCCTCTTCTCACCAAAACCCTACCCCTTTCCTCCAATCTTCCATTTTAACCATCAAATCTCCAATATTTCATCATAAACACCTCCCCAACCCATGTATGATCAGAAACCCTAAACTATTTCACCACAACACAGCATCAAAAGTGGATTTTGATCTTCAAAAGGGAATTTTGGGCCGCACGGAAATTCTTTGATTTCTGGGTGAAATTGGACTTGTTTCCTCCTCATTTTTCATCATTATCATCCTCTATCATCTTCCCACACATTTGAGGTAACAATTTGCGAATTTCTTTGACATTTTATAATTTCTTATTCTACATTTTTCTAGTTTTTGGGAATATTATGATAAATGCATATTTGTTGGAATTTCTTGATATAATTGTGCTACATTGTGCTTAAATAGATTGTTACAACTATTTTCATACTTATTTTTGAGAAAACTGTGGATTTGGTGATATTTTTAAGATTTTTCTCAATTTTTGGGCTTGAGCATTTTAGTGATTTAGACTTGTGAATTTTGCTTTCATTGGATATATGAACTTGTTCCGAGGAGTATAAATCACTGTTATATTAATGACATGCTATCATTAGAGCAAAAACCCATTGGATAAAAAAGTCTGTTTGCAATTAAATTAAGCACATTGAACCACTTTTACTTGAGATAATTTGCATTTGTTTGGATGAATTGGAACTCATGTGTATGTAAACTGAGTGTTATGAATGTTATGAATTGGATTGGAGATATTCTCAAGTGTTTGGGTGTTCATTCTTGCACATGAATATAATTTTCAATTGTTTGGACTTATTATGCATGACATGATTTCTTTATTGATAATATTCTTTCTAAATGTGGGAATTTTATTTGAGAATTGTTAGGAAGTTTATTTGTTTAAATTTGGGAACATTTTGGCAAGGAGTTTAGCCCTTTTTCAAGGGGAAACTCTGCCGAAATTTTCTTAAATTCTTATTTATTATTTGAGAGCAAGTTTAAAATGTTGTGTATAGGTATTATGGCTCGCACAAGGAGGCCTCGCATTCGTACTCCTACTCCTTCTTCAAGTGAGGAACACACACCTTCCTTGCAAGAGGAGTCACCTGAAGAGGAATCTCATTCACCTGAGCCGCCACCTCGCTCTCGCCGGAAGACCGCGTCTACTAGCCGTGATGAGCCACCTCCGGACTATGATACCACACGATTCACATCATTTGCGAATCAACAATGGTATGAAGCCGGCCTAGACAAGGAAATCATTATTGAGAAACACTTGGCACCGGAGGTGGACGCGCACTATCACATTTCTACAGCATTCAAAAGACTTGGATGGGAGAACATCCTTCAGTTGCCCAAACACTACTACCCCAATCTGGTCCGGGAGTTTTACGCTAATGTAGAAAACAAGCAAAGCCACAGTGGCAACCTCATCATCTCATGGGTTCGAGGCAGGAGAGTGGCTCTCAATCGAGATACGTTGAGACGCTTCGTCCAACTCAAAAACGAAGGCGAAGATGTCAAATTGACCAAGGAGTTCAAGGCTCGAGACCCTTGGGAAGTGGGAGAGGCCGTGGGACGTCTAAAGGGTCAGTACCGTGAGCGAGAAAATTCGAAAAAACTCACGGTATATGCTGACTCCTTCGAGCATCAGTACCACCTCATCTTCTATCTTTTTGCCTTTAATGTGGTGCCGAAAAGGAGTGGCAAACGGGAGATCCGAAATAGCGATCTCTACTTTCTGGATAAGATGATACATGGAGTGGGTAGGCAATTGACTGGTATTCCTCTACCCAGCATTATCATTAGCTATATGCGGACCACAGCTCGCATGAGGGCCGGCGAGACTTGCTTTGGATTCCCTCGACTGCTATCCCTCATTTTTGAGAAACTCAAGGTTCCTCTTGGAACCGAAAGATCGGTGGTAACTAGGTCGGCCGAGAAGGTAACGCTTCTATACTCAAATCCTTGGGTATTTCTATGGATTTTGGAGCTGCTTTGATCCGGGACACAGGAGAAGCATCGACTTCCACTCAGCCTCCGCCTCAAACTGAACCGCAAGCGGAAACTCAAGAGACGGAGACACAGCAGACTCTTCCTCCTTCGGTTCAGCGACCACCTCCTCAACCGCGTTCCAAATGGCAAGAGCTCCTCAATGCCATTTGCTGTATGGAGACACGTGTTGTCGAGCGCATTGACCAGACCAGCGGATGATGACCGAGCGACTCGACCGATATGATCGCCGTCTTCGTATGATCGAGGATCATTTCCATATCCGCCGGTCCCCTACTCCGACACCTCAGCAGGAGGAGGGACACATTGGTACATCACATGGTCCTCATGGAGCCGAGGAGGCAGTAGACCCTCGTTCCGAGCAGCCATGATGCTCTTTAGCGGATTAGACCTTTTATTTCTTTATTTTTCTTTTCTTTTGTTAAGACAAACTTTGTAGATTTTATTTTTCTTTAATTTGAATCATCTTGTGCTACTTATGGTGTTTGGTACTCTTGTTGTCTCATTTTGGACAGAAAATGGATGATCGTGATGATTAAGGGTTTCAAATTGCATCACCACTTATGTGAGAAAAGTTTCAGTTCTTTTACCTTCCTCTACAATGAGGACATTATAGATATTAAGTGTGGGGGAGGGATTACTTTATCTTATGGGTGATTGTGTCTTGAAATGCATGATTTTAGTTGTTTATGGCTTAAAAATGTTGGAATTATATGTGGAGATATAGTCATGAGGATAATTTTTGTGAAAATTGAGGTTGTTGGCAGGGAGTTTCATCTATTTTTATGGGGAAACTCTGTCAAAATTTTTCTAAAACATTTTCCAATATTTCATTGCAATTCTTCCAATTAAATGGCCAAAATGTTAAAATTTTAAGTGTCTAATTCTTCCATTGGATAAAATGCTATGTGTATTTTGGAAAAGTTTAGTTTTTATTTGGCTTGGAATGAATTATTATGCAATTACGATTTTTACATTTTAGAAAGTATATTTGGTTAATAAGAAAAATTATGCTTAGAATTTTGCAAGATTAATGATATTTATCATTTTTACTTAATTTTATAAGTAAGTGATTGATATAGTCAAAGACAAGGCCAAATTCTTCCTTTAATTATACTTAGAGGGAAAAAGAAATTATATGTTTAAAAAAACATAAAAAAATAAAAAAATAAAAAAAAATAAAAAAAATAAAAAAAAAAAGAGAATAATATTATTACTTTTCTACTCGAATGATTCACATACTGAGTAACCGGAGGTTGGCATTTACAAATGTCGACATTCGCGTAAAAAGGTATTGGAATTAAGAGTATGCTTAGCAATTTAAATAAGTGAAATGTTGAGCAACCGGAAATTTTCACCTAAAAGTGTTGATTTTCGCGTAAAAAAACGTTTTCACTATTTAAATAAGATGATATGTGAATAAATTCATCTAAATTGATAAGTTTTGGGATGAGGAAGGCCATAAAATTGACTATGTGATTTACTTATTTGTGAAATTAGGATAGAATGAGAGAATTGATTTGAATTTGTTGAAATTAAGGCATAATTATTTTTATTTAATTGAATATTATGAGTATTTAGTGTAATTTCAGAAATGGCATAATGATTGGTTTCTAGGTTTTTGAGGAATTAAATTTGACAAAAGTACGTATATTGTTTTATCTATTGAACCATTGAAGTAAGTTGTGTAAAATTGCTTGAGGACAAGCAACGATTCAAGTGTGGGGGAATTTGATAAGTGAATATTTAACGTACATTTTGTACGAATTTGGCATGAATTTTTGGTATGTTTTGAGAAGATTAAAGCCATATTTGAACTCTTTTGGTGATAATTGCTTAAATATTGTTTAAGGGTTCAAAAACTGATAAATGAGTGGATTAATGCGTTAATTTTGTGAAATTGTGAAGGTAATTGATATATGAAATTCATGCACAAGTTGAAAGAAATGTAAGGGTCATCCAGAGGACAAAGTACATAAGAAATTGGGAGCAAAAATGTAGAAAAAGGGAAGAAGTGAAAAACTGGAAAATTGCTCAACACGGATCCGAGCCCTCGTCTGTACTTCTGGCGGAGTGTATCCGAGGTCAGGAAGATCAGACCTCGGATCCATCAAGGAAAGTTCTCGGATCCTGAAGATCTGAGCTCGGATCATTTTTCAACCCTCGGATCCGA